TTACGCGGGTGATCCCAGTGCCTTATTTGGGAGAACTTTTAATATTTGTCATTATTTTTATGCATATCATTTTTCCCGCCTGCTCAGGAAAATTAAAATGTCGGTTCTGAAAGAAATAAACATTATGTATTGACATTGGTAATTATGTTTTGGTATTTAAGGATGCATAAAAAACTGCACACAGGGCCTCAAATATAAATTTGCAGTTAATATCCTCAGAAGAAAACTGGTACACTTTGACTTGACTCACTAGATTGGAAACAGGCTCTCTCTGAGGTTGCTGGGATCTAGGCACATAGTTTTTACTGGCATTCAAAGATGCTCAAGGGTTCGACGGGCCCCAGGAACTCTGTTTTAGGGTCAGGAGGCCTGGGGTTTTTCTTTATCACTAAAGTGCTGTGTGACCGTGATCAATCCTAAGCACCTTCTGAGCCCCGTGTTCCTAACTGCAAATAGTAATCATTTGCTTAGGGGTTCTTGCTCACTGGACTGTCAGGTCCTCGGTGGCAGAGCGATATCTTATTTAGTCTTGAACCTCCAGACCCATCAGTACAGTCTATTACATATGGATGATATATAGGGCTTTGACCCCTAATGAAGGCAGTGGGGTCTTGGAGATAGAGGGTATGATAGTTCTGAGTTTGGCTCTGTATCTCTGTATCAGGTAGTTATTGCTGCATAACAAATCATACCAAAATGTAGGTGCTTAAAATAAAGAGCTCTTCATTGTTTTTCAAGATTCCACAGGTCACCTATGCCATTCCGCTGGTCTGGGCTGGATTGCCTAATCTTGGCAGGGCTTGTTCATATACCTTGGGTCAACTGGCAGATGGGCCGGAGGCTTGGCTGGTCTAGAATGACTTTGGATGTGATACTTCATGCATTTGCTTCTTCTCTGGTGGACTAGTCCAGACTTGTTCTCATGGCAGAACAGGAGTTTGAGGGAGGAAGCAGAACCATGCAGGATTCAGCTTGCATCTGGTTGCTCTTGTCTCGTTGGCTTAAGTAAATGATATGGCCACGCCTAGAGTCAGCCTGGGAGCAACCTACAAGAGGGGAGGGACCCAGGGAAACAGCAAAGCTTGGGGCCAGCAATGCAGTCAACCTCCTACAGGCTCCATCTCAGCCCTGCCACCTGATAGCAGGCGGTGTGAGCAGCAGCAGGGACCTGGAAAAGACCTCAGTCTTTTCATCTGTTCAGTCTGGCAGAGATACGATGAGGTTGAAATGAGACAAATGTATTTTAGGTCTTTGGCACCATGTTTATGGTGACTGCCCAGCATGGCATACCTGATGCTTGAAGGATGAATACCCAAAGATAGGCATTGCAGGTTTGTTTGTAAGGGTGAAAAATCAGAAACTACCTAAATGCTCATAAAAAAGACCTAGTAAAATAAATCACAGTATGCTCATGGAATGGAACACTTTTTAGCCTTTAATTCAATAAATCAATGTCCTGCCGTGAAAGGGGAAGAAAGCACAATGTGCAGTGTATTATCTGAAGCTATTTCTGTGTGTGTGTGATGTCAGCTGTGTGTTTACCCTGCTTTATAGAGAGCTGTCTGGAAAACTATGTTCCGAACTATAAGTAGTGGGACTTAACATTTTTAGATGTCTTGAGTTTTTACACTGAACATGCATTACTGAGAAAGCCTGCATTTCTTGAATCAAAGAAGAAAAAAAATAGAAAAAAATTGTAGGCAAATAACATTAAAAAATGATGGCTTTTAGGAGCTTCCTGGGGGCTTGGTGGTAAAGAATCTGCCTGCCAATGCAGGAGACATGGGTTCTACCCCTGGGTTCAGAAAGACCTTAACCCATGTGCCACAGCTACCAAGCCCACGTACCCGAGAGCGCGTGCTCAACAAACGAGAAGCCCATGCAACTGCAGCTGGAGAGCGGCCCCCGCTCGCCACAACTAGAGAAAAGCCAGGGCAGCAGCAGAGACCCAGGACAGCCATACTAAATCAATAGACAAGTAAATAGAAAATTTAAAAAAATGATGGCTTTTAGGTTCTAAGTTATCTGAATGGTTGATAATAGTGTTCAATAATAAATAATAAAATAGCAGGTACCAGTTACTGAGGACTCATTATATGCTGAGTACTTTACAGCCCAACAGGTAGGTGGCTTTCCATTCTGCAGGTGAGGAAACTGAGGCTCAGAGCAGGAGAGTACTGGCCTGGGTGAGAGCTGCCCCCTTAGGGCTGACCGTCGGACCCCCTCTCTGCACAGAGGCCGCTCTGTGTCGGTTTGTACGGCAGAGGTTCTCCTGCCTCCCGCCCATCAGGAGGGCCGCGTGACTCCCAGGCACAGGTCCCCGGGCCCCACCCCGTATCCCAAGAGCCATTCCTCTTTGAGAGGGGACTCGGGACTCTGTGTTTTAGTATGTACCCACAGGGATGCTGGGGCAGTCGGGCTGCCATTCAAGAGCTCAGGCCTCATTCCTTTCATCTTGTCCGGTGACTCAACTGACCTTCACAACACAAGGACATGAGCGCAAGGTGGGTTGTGGCCCTCACTGTCCATGCTGCCGATGAGGAAACTGAGGCCAGAGGAGAGAGTCACTCACTCAGGGCCCTGAACCTGGGAAATGGGATTTGAGCCCTGGCCTGACTCTAAGGGGCCTTCCTGGTGGCTCAGCTGGTAACGAGTCTGCCTGCAAGGTGGGAGGCCTGGGTTCCACCCCTGAGTTGGGAAGATCCCCTGGAGAAGGGAACAGCTACCCACTCCAGTATTTTGGCCTGGAGAATTCCATGGACTGTGTAGTCCGTGGGGCTGCAAAGAGTCGGACAAGACTGAGCAACTTTCACTTTCCCTTTCTGACTCTCAGGCTATGTACCACCCAGTGGATGGGCCGGTGGGTGGAGAAGGCCTTTCTGCAGGTAACGGGGAGGAGGGACATTTGTGGATGTTGGGGTCCTCCTGGTAGTTTGTGGTGGCCACCTGCCCTCCTCCCCAGCCCTGGCTGCTGGAGGACAGATGGCAGAATCGCTGTGGCCCGTTTCTCGGCCAGGGATTCGGCGGCTGATACTGTTGTGGAGCTGTGGTGAGATTATTGGCTTTACTTGCAGTTGACTGGGGGGACTTGCCCCCCAGATGATCCCGAAGATCCAGCCCAGTGAAGTGGGAATGAGAAGTGGGTGCTAACCGGTTCGGCGCCTCCTCCCGCCCTTCCTGGCTTTTGGGACCCTGACGGCTCTCTCTCTCTTCCTCTTTGCAGTTTCTTGCTTCTTGGCTTTTATTAGCACATTTCGGGGGAATAGGTTTGCTGGGAAAAAGTGGTTGTAATCAGAGAGATTCGAGCCGTCTATCATTGATGATGTCGGCACCTGAGGCGTCTCCGCCTGCCTTCCTGGCCTTTGTAGCTGCTGGAAGCCAGCTGCTCGGGGACATGGGGTTGGGGACACAGGTAGGACTGGTGGGAGGCCCTGCAGGCCTGGGAATGTCTCCTGTGTCCCCCTAAACCTCAGAGGGAGTCTTCTGCCATCACTATTCTGTGTTGGCTTCCTTGGTGGCTCAGATGGTAAAGAATCTGCCTGACAAGCAAGAGACGCAGGCTTGATCCCTAGGTTGGGAAGATCCCCTGGAGGAGGAAATGGCAACCCGCTTCAGTGTACTTGCTGGGGTAATCCCATGGACTAGGAGCCTGGAGGGCTACCGGCCACAGGGTCGCAGAGTCAGGCCCGACTGAGTGACTGCATGCACATGCATCTCTGTCTTGGGTCTGGGAGCCAGGACATGCCTCCTGACTTCCTCCCCAGGACAAGGAGCCCCACGAGGGCATCTTTTTGTCCCCTGTCCTCCAGCCGAATTTTTGCTTCCCCTCAGGCTCTAAAGGGTCTGTTCACAGTCATTGCATGTATTTTGTTTTGGTTCTTGTAACAGCTTTATTGAGACATATATCACACAATCTACCCAATTAAAGTGTATAATTCAATGGTACAATTGAATGGTATTCCCCAAGTTGTGCAGACATCACCCTGTTCATTTCTGAATATTTTCATCTTCTCTAAAGAAAGCCCATTCCCCTTTTTAGCTGTCACCCTCCAACCCACCATCCCTCCCAGCCCAAGTCACCGCTGACCTATGTTGTCTTTATAGATTTTCCTACTGTGGGTATTGGGTGTCAATGGAATCATACAGGACATGGTTTTTGGTGACAAGTGTCTTTCACTTGGCATAATGTTTGCAAGGTTCACTCGTGTTGTGGCTGTGTCAGTGCCTCATTCCTTTTTATGGCTAAATAATATTCCATTGTTTTTGATAAATGGATAAATATGCAATCATTTATTTTATATTATGAATATTTTTTCTTTTTGTTCCCCCAAAGATTTACCAATAAATGCAAAGAATACTGTCAGATTAAAAACAAAAGTAAGAGATCATTTCTGAGAATTTTTCATCAGAAGAATATTGCAGAAATGGAAAAAATAATTGCACCAGGAATTCCATGGCAGCTTGCCTTGTAATTGCCAAAATGAGAAATAACCTAAATGTACAGAAATAGGGATCCAGCTAAATAAATTATGATAATCCATATGTCATGTGGATTTATAGTCATTGACATGAAAAGCTATCCATGATATGTAGTTGAGTCAATTAGGCAGTCCCATTTTTATAAAATTATACTTTCATTTCATGCCCATCTGGAGGAATGTTCACCAAAATGTTCCCATGAACATTATCTCTGAAGGTCAGAATGTCAAGTGCTATGTGTGTATTTTTATGTGGGGGAGAAAAAGAATAAGGGAATTGGAACTAGGAGTAAATAAGCGTAGCAACATGAGATAAACCCAAGGGAGTGTTTGTTCTCCTAAGTGTGTACCCATGGGTCATCTGCATTTGCGGAAGGGTCCTCCACACTGTCCCCTCTCAGTGAGCACTGGAAAACAGGCAGGTCTGGATGATCAAGTTTACCCATGGCTCTGAGCTTCCCAGCAGCCAAAGCAAAGAGGGAAGGGAGCACCTACAACTTACTGGCCTTTGTCCAGAGGACCCTATTCCTGGGCGAGGCTGAGCGAGCCACTCCTCTTGGGTCTCAAGGAGAGGCGCCTTCCTGTCACGATGAACAGCATCCTCCACGTGTCTTCTCGGTACACACAAAAGCGAGACTGCTAATCACAAGCCACGAGGGCAGTGAAGTGAGCCTACGAGGGAGCCACAAGGCAGGCAGGGCACTTGCTACCCACCGTCAGTGCCTGACGTTTGGGTCGGTGCCCTGCAGCGGGGAGGGGAGGGGGACCCTCATGGGTGCCTACCCCTTCTCTGGCTCATCCTCAAGGGGCTCATCATGCCCACTTCGCAGCAGAGGAGGCCGAGAGGAGAGATCAGGTGTCTCAACTTACGGAGTTGAATGAGCAGAACAGAAAAGCCTTCCCAGTGCCTGCAGTTCCGGAGCCAGGGCTCTTGGGACCCTACCCCTGGCCTCGAGCCGTGGAACCCTGGTTCCAAGCCACCTGTCTCCAAAGCCCTGGCATGCTCTCCGTTGGTTCAGGCCAGCTGGCCTTCTCCCTGGACCCTGCCTCCTTACTGCTGTGTGACCTTGGGTAAGTTATTTAAACACCCTGGGCCTCAGCTGCTTCATCCGGAAAGTGGGGATAACAATAATTCCTCTTCCATTCCTTCTGGGGAGAAGGAAATGTAATAATCAGGTAAGGTGCGGAGGACCGTGCCTGGCCCATAGGAAATACTCTCTGCTTTCCTGAGTCTGGTTTAGTCCCCGCCCATCCATCCTCCTCTGTGTATTGACTGGATTTTTCTGCCCCTCTGAGGGTGCCCGTCCCCATTTCCTTCATGGAAATCCCCCAGCACCAGCAGGGTGTCTGTGCCCTGAGTCAAGCTGGCCTTCCCAGTGTCCTCTCTCCTCAGCCCTCCCCCCACCCCCACCCCGGGTCCATCTTCCATCAGTTTCCACAACTAAGCTTCTCCCTTTATCACCTGTGCCCTCTGCTTGACCCTTTCTCCTTCCTCCCTTCACCCAGCGGCTGCCTCCTTACCTTTTGGGTTACGGCTTAGGTACCACCTCCTACAGGAAGGCTTCCCTGATCCCCTGACTCCCCACAGCACCCCCATGCTTTCTGCCTACATGGCACAAGCATTCTCTGCCCCCTTTCGGCATCTCTCCACGCCTGGAGTTTGGAGGGGAGTTACCCTCAGCTTGTTCATGACTCACAGAGTGTTGGCCTCATGGGGTAGTTGAATATTTGATGAATGGCTGGAGAAACAGCAGGCTTTGGCAGGCAGAGGCCAAGCCAGGCTGATGGACTCCACGAATGAGTAAAATCCTGACATGTTCGGGCTTGGAATCAGAGCGGGCTATGCAGTGCACGTGGGCTGGTAAACCCGTGTCATGGGCTTGACCATCAACCCATTCGACAGCTGAGTAAACTGAGTGCAGAGTGGTTAACCCGCACACCTAGGGTCATCAGCTAGTGAGAGGTGCGCGGACTCCAGGTACTGAGCACCAGCCACGGGGCCCTGTCTGCTCCCAGGCTGCATGTGCAGAGACAGACGGGCTGTTCTAGAAATGAAGGTGAGCGGAGGAGGCTAGGGTCAGATTAGCATTTTAATAAGCTGGCCTGGGTGCCTGCGGGAGAGATAATGAACCCACAGTGGACTGGCCTGCGCACCTTCTGCTGCGGGCGTGGATCCTGACGGCCGCCCCGGGTGGGCCAGAGTAACCCCCACATTTGAATGTCAAGTAGAGTGAACCCTGCAGAGATGCGCAGAAGAGCCCCAAACACTGAAAGACAGACACACACAGTATTCTCCAACAGACGTGTGCAGACTCATGGAGGCAGGCATAACGTGCGTGTGTGTGCGTGCGTGTACACACGTGCCACACACACGCACTCCCCAGAAACTTGCAAATGGAAGGAAAACTCTCAGGAATGAAGTTTCAAGGGCCCAGGAGGTGGATGAAGCCAGGAAGCTGCCTCTGGGATGTCCCATTGTGTGAGAGAGTGTGTGTGTGTAAGTGTGTGTGTGAGAATGTGTGAGTGCGCGTGTGTGTGAGAATGTGTGAGTGCGTGTGAGTGTGTGTGTGAGTGTGTGTGCTTAGTCACTCAGTTGTATCTGACTTTTACTGCCCCCCTCACCAAGTTGCCTGTCATATCAAGGGGTCCCCCTAGTACCATGGCCTTTGACCCCGAGGCAGAGGACTCTTTCTCAAAGAGTAATCTGACCACATGACTTTCTGTTTAAACCTTGCCTGAGGCTCTGACTGCTCTCACTTGTGGAGTCTTGTGTGTGATTTGGCGCCTCCTGCCTTCTTGCTTTTGGCCATCTCAGCCCAGCCACAAGGACTCTTAAGGTCCCTCCCACCCTGAGGTCATTTCCTGTATCAGTGAACTTTCCTGCCAACCCTCATGGCCCTTCTGGCCTATTCACATTGGTCCTCCATTTCTCCATTCAGATGTCACCTCTTCTAGGAAGCCTTCCCTGACTTTCCAAACTGGATCAAGGGCCCCACTCTGTGCCCAGTCCTCACCCATCTGAACTGTCATCGTCATAACTTTGTCTCCTTCACTAGCCAAAGGCTTTTTAGGGCATCTGGGTGTCTCTGGTGGCCAGCATGGAGTTGGGCATCAGGATTCCAGGCTCAACTCTGCTGCTGTTTCTGATGACCACTCTCCTCCACGGGGCCAACGTGTGGGACAAAACCTCTGTGTGATGCAGGCCAGAGCATGGCACAAACCACCGTAACTAAGGCAACCCGGTACCTTCTTAACACTTCCCAAGGCTCTCTATCTCATTACATCTCAATGCCTACCATAGGTGGGCTTTCTAGGCGCCGCTAGTGGTAAAGAACCCGCCTGCCAATGCAGGAGACATAAGGGACGTTGGTTCAGCCCCTGGGTCCGGAAGATCCCCTGGAGAAGGGCAAGGCAACCCACTCCAGTATCCTTGCCTGGAGAATCCCATGAACGGAGGAGCCTGGCGGGCTACAGTCCAGAGGGTCGAAAAAGAGTCAGACACGACTGAAGTGACTGAGCACCCATACATGCCTATCCTAGGAGCTACAGGAGGCTGGAGTTAGTACCTCCAGATGGTAAAGAATCCACCTGCAATGCGGGAGACCTGAGTTCGATCCCTGGGTTGGGAAGATCCCCTGGAGGAGGGCATGGTAACCTACTCCAGTGTTCTTGCCTGGAGAATCCCCATGGACAGAAGAGCCTGGCAGGCGACGGTCCACGGGGTCACAAAGGGTCGGACATGACTGAACGACTAAGCACAGCTCAGCTGAGAAAACCCAGGCCCAGGGAGGGAAGAGGCAGGAGCAGGTGCAAACCCGGGTCTCTGGCCTCCTCCTCCTGTAGGAGCTGGCATGACCGGGGAAGCCTGGCGAGGAGGATGCGCTTCTGCTGGGTTCCATGTCTGGTGAGGTTTGGACACGCTGGGGAGGCCGGGGGAGGCCTTCGGGATGAGCGGCAGCCTGGAAGGTTTTGGCAGGGAAACTGTGGGATGTGGGCATGCTTCTATGCTCCTGACCTCGCTGAGCCTGGGTGAGGAGGCCGGAGAGGCAGGCCAGCACTGGGTCCCAGGAAGCCTTGCAAGCCAGGCTAAGGACTGAACTTCATCCTGGGGCGCTACAAGGTCCTGGTGAAGACTTCGGAGCAGGAAGGAGGCTTCACTCCGGAGCTGGGAGCCTACTGAGAGTCTGAAGCCACATCCCAGCTCGGGCGACAGAGGCTGGAGCGGCCGCACGCCCCCTCCCTTCGTCCTCTGTCCGACCTTGGCGGGGTTCCCTGGGATACGGTGCGATTCGCCCCGTGGTCTTTGCTTCAGAGGGGGCCGCTGCGGAACGGCCCTCCCTGAGAGCATCCGGGCTGCAGAAGGAGGGCCTGGTTGGGAGCACGGGGCGGGGACCGGAGGTGGGGGTTCGGGGGCAGGGGGACGCGTGGGGTGGGAGGCGTGGTCGCCGCCTCTGACTTCCACAGGGGGTCAGTGTAGCATTAAAGTTCCTCCCGCCGGCTCTGCCCCCGCCGCCTGCACACACCCTGACGGAGGCGTTTAGGTTCAGAAATCTGGGTCAGCTAGTTATATTTGGAACCCCTGGTGGGCAGGCGGGAAGCCCGGTGGGCTGGGGGAGGCTGAGCCACTTGAGAATCATGTGTTTGTTTGTTTTCTTTTTTGTGTGGATCTTAGAGTTTCAGGAGGAACTTGCTGAGAAAGCCACATTTCTGTAGCTGGGAGAGGACCCCGCCCTTCCCTCCTGGAGGTCCCCGGTGGGTTGGCAGAGACCCCCTCCATCTCTGCTTTCACTGGGAAGGTGGGGTCCACCCAGAGGGCTGTTCCAGGCAAATGACAGACGCTAGAGCCCTAGGGAGTCTCAGAGATGACCCAGATCTCCAATAATCCGGTACATCATTCAACTTTCTGCTTGGTTGTTGAGAAAGTTGAGAAGCAGACCAGAGCGGTGTTCAGATTTGCCTAAAGTCTTGCAGTAGGTGGAGGTCAGGTTTCCCCATTTCAAGCTCGGATTCTTTCGTGTGCCTGTGTTTCACAGAGTCTTGGGGGGCTTCTTTGAATTGTGGGTCCTTAAGCCTCACCTCCAAAGATTCCGTTTCACTTGGTTTGGGAGAGGGTCTGGGGATCCACTCTCTATAAACAGACTGCCCAAGGAGTTTTGAAACAGGTTGTGGGCAGATCACACTGGGGGCTCACTCAGCCAAGTTCTTGAGCTTCTCAGACTTGAATGTACATACGAATCAACTGGGCCTGGTGTTCAAATGCCCGCTCAGATGCAGTATATCAAGAGAAGGGGGTCCGAGAATCTGTATTACGTCTAACAGAGTCCTTGGTGATGCCGAGCAACACCCTGAGAACTGCGGCGGTTGAGAGCACACTCTCATCCTCTGGGCACGCTCGAGGGGCAGATAAGTTGCAAAGCTAACAGACACCCACTCTGCTATCCCCTCCCAGGGGAGCCTGATATTTTACGGAATCACGTCACTTTCTGAAATTTCCTCTGAACCTCAAATCTAACCACTCACCCCCTCCTCTGTATTCCCTACATCAGAGACGAGGGAATTTCAAACATAGAAAAAGGAAAAAGCAGAACTCTCATCAGCCTCCACTGCTTAGAGGAATCCTGCAAAGCTGCAACTATTGGCAAAATCCCTACTCTGTGTCCTGGGGGGCTTCCCAGGTGGCGCTACTGGTAAGGAATCCGCGAGGGTTTGATCCCTGGGTCAGGAAGATCCCCTGGAGGAGGAAGTAACAACTCACTCTACTGTTCTTGCCAGGATAATACTACGGACAGAAGAGCCTGGTGGGCCGCGGGGTCGCAGAGAGTCAGACGTGAAAGAGCACACACACTCCTCTGTCCCCAGAGCCCCAGAGGGACAGGAAAGCTTGGGGAACCTTAGGTGACCCTAACTCCCCGATGACACTTGTCCTCGGTCTCTTTTCCACACCTTCCCATTATTATTTCTGCCCCTTCCCTGAATCTTATGTTAATAGTCTCTAAGTATTTTCAATTAGATTTCCCAAGCAAAAGAAAGTTTCCAAAGTTAATTAAAAGTTGCCTCGCTGTAATTGTATGAAAGCAGCTTTTGCTTCTGAAAATTAAATTCTCATAATTAAACTCCGCTATCCGTTTAAAGATTTCGGTGAAGTGTTTATTGTTCGTTTATTATGAGGAAGCCTTTGGTGGGCTGGTGCTCCCACAGCCAGGCACTGGTCCATCAGATGCCGCGTCAAGGTCTCAAGTTTCCGCTCCCTTTGAAGACGGCGTGCCCCTGGGAAAGGAAGAGCACATCCCGCGTGGGTTAGGCGGTTGCGGGAAACGCAGGCTGGAGCTTGTCCCCAGGCCCCACTGCACTTCGTTCGGCAGACCACACGCATCCTGACCTGCCTGTATGCGTGGCTCCTCCCCGTCCGCGCTCTATTTGCATCAGCATGGGCCCCGTGACTTCCGCCGGCCAATAAGTGGAGGATGCGTGATGTGCGTGACCCTAAGCCGGAAGCTTCAGGAGCCACACACAGTTTGCCAGGATCATCTGCAGTGTCTCTAACCCTCACGAGTGGCAACGTCGCAGAGAGACAGACAGACAGAGGCGGCCAGGCCGGTCTGGGACCTGGAGGAAGGTAACGTGGAGCAGAGATGCAGCCGCTGACCTCTGCACTGGTATGACGCCTAGCTAATTCTCATGACTTGGCGTAGAGACCTCTTTTTAAAACCATAAAACCAATAAGGCAGGATTAGTCGTCCTTTCTGTTAGCTCCCACAGCTTCTGAGCCTTTCTGATCTGCAAACACCTATGCTTCTGTGTCTAACTGAATAAATGGCAGGGTCCCCTTAAAATTGAATCCATTGAAAATAGACACTGAGTCTTTTTAAAAAAGAAATCGTTTATTTATTTGACTGTTAAGTCTTAGTTGTGGCTCACGGGATCTCCATTGCCTCATGCAAGGTCTTTTGTTGTGAGGTACAGACCCTCTAGCGGTGGCACGCAGACTTGTTTGCTCCATGGTGTGTGGGATCTTACTTCCCTGACCAGGGATCAAACCCATGTCCCTGCATTGCAAGGCAGACTCTTAACCCCTGGACCACCAGGGAAGTCCCAGCAGTGGATCTTAGTATCTGGGAAGCTATAATCCAGTATAATGGCACATCCATGGCTTCCCAGGTGGCGTTAGTGGTAAAGAATCCACCTGCCAATGCAGGAGACATGAGAGACATGGGTTTTTCCCTGGATCAGGAAGATCCCCTGAAGGAGGGCGTGGCAACCCACTCTAGTATTCTTGCTTGGGAAATCCCATGGACAGAGGGGCCTAGTGGGCTACAGTTCACGGGGTGGCAAAGAGTCAGACACGACTGAATGTCTGAACACAGCCCAGCATACTTATCAAGTGAACAGCTAAGTTTTGGGGGGTCAGACAGATGTGACCAGTTCCACTGCTTATTCTCCAAGTGATGATGGATTGATCATTTCACCTCTAGGCATTAGTTTTTTTGTCTTTAGGATGGGTCTGATAATGAAGCCCATTTTTGACTTTTGATCCACATCCTGCCTTTAGATGCCCACCCCCACCAACCAGGGTGATGGTACGGACAAGGGAATAGGAATAACATGAGCTCTGAGCTTCCCCACTTCCTCCCTCCATGGAGCCCCAGGACAGGGAGGATCTGCTTTTCTCCAGACTTGACAGAAGAAATCTGATCAGCGATAATGATGAGTCAACCTGGCTAAGGCAACTTGGACACACAGCTCTGTGATTTTTTACTCAACACAGAATCTGAGCAGAAGTAGGAGATGAAACAACAGGTTGACAAGACTTGGAAGGTAAATCTTCCCTCAGGCTGGAGGCTCAGGTTGGCCACAAGTGGGAGTCTTTCCTCATGCATCATTCATGGTCGGTGGCATAGCCCCTCCCAGACTTCCCTTTGGACTTTTCCCTAGGGTTGTGCTAATTACACCATGTGTGGTTTCCCCTGTGGGGATCAGAATAAAGGCTTTCCCCACAGGCCCATGTCCTCATTCCACAAGCTGAATATGCTGTGTTGCATGGCAGGGAGGAATTAAGATGGCAGATGGAATTAACATTGTTACTCAGATGACCTTCACAGAGGAGGATTATTCAGGGGGCTCCAGTAGGCTCACCAGGTCCTAAAAAGTGGCAGGAGGCACACGGAAGTCAGAGTAGGAGAGAGGTGTAAAGGTGCTCTGAAGATGGAGGAAGGGGCCACGAGTCAAGGGATACAGGTGGCTTCTAGGAGCTGGAAAAGGCAAGGAAACAGATGCTCTCCCACAGCCTCTGGAAGGACACTGCCCTGCAAACACTTTGGTTTTAGCCCAGTGAAAGCCATTTCAGACATTTGACCTCCAGAACTGCAGGATAGTAAACACCTTATGTGCTTCCCAGGTGACACAGCGATAAAGAAAGTGACAGTCGCTCAGTCGTGTCCGACTCTTTGCGACCCCATGGACTATACAGTCCAGGGAATTCTCCAGGCCAGAATACTGGAGTAGGTAGTCATTCCCTCCTCCAGGGGATCTTCCCAATCCAGGGATCAAACCCAGGTCTTCCGTGTTGCAGGTGGATTCTTCACCAGCTGAGCCACCAGGAAGCCTGAGTGGTAAAGAATCCACCTGTCAATACAGGAAAATTCAGGAGATGCAGTTTCGATACCTGGGGTGGGAAGATTCCCCTGGAGAAGGAAATGACAACCCACTCCAGTGAGCTTACCTGGAAAAGTCCATGGACAGAGAAGTATGGTGGGCTACAGTCCATGGGGTCACACAGAGTTGGACCCAGCTGAGCACGCACACACACAACAAATTCATGGTAATTGTTAAAGAGGTAAAAGGAAATGAACGTACCCCACATTTACTGTTTCTTCATTTCTAAATGTTCTTCTCCTTATATTACGTCATTAGTATTAAGTGGGTTTTCTATTTTCAGAGCACCAGGGAGTGAAATATTAGTGGGTGGCTTTGATGAAGACTTTTGTCTTTCCCAAATGGCCTTCCCTCTCCCAATTAAAAAAAGAAAATGTAACTATTCCCCAGTTCTGCCTCTTTTTTCTCCTGGTTTCATCTCTCTACCTCAACAAGACCTGAGTAGTCTGCAGAGTTCCTTCTGAATTTACCAACTGCTGTTTTGGCTTTTTCCTAGCTACCCTGATCCTTATCCACCCTCATGAACCATAGATTCCCTCTAATCAGTACTTTACATTTAATATTATTTCACTTTCCCCGTGTCCTTTTACATTTTTTATCTCCTTGTTGAAAGGAACTCATTTGTGATTTTCTTCATTTAGTTCCTTCCTCCCTCCCTCCATCCATCCTCCCCTTCCCCCTTTTCAATGCTTTGCT